TCCTGGATCTTGGACATTTATTGCTTCTTGGCCTTTTGGCTAAGATCCAGACTGTATTATCTTTTGAGCTCTTCAATTCCTTTGTTTCATCCTAGAAGGAAGGTTGTTAATAATTTCTTAGTACAGCACCACCATAATATGATTTTTTATGGTTAAACTTATTTTCTATCTCAATAAAAATATAGTCTTCCGCAACATTGTACATATATATAATAACCTAATATAAATGTAAGCTTTATGACTTGTCCATGTGTCTTTCATATAACAACTTATTGCTGTGTTTCAACAATGGTTACAGACTGCAGCCAAGGTTGCATCTTTCACGTACTTTTTCTCTGCTTGCCATTTGATATTCCCGTCCTGAGAATTCAAATCTTTCTATGCTAAAAGGTCCTAGACAATGTATTTTACAACTTCGTGTCTCCACAGATGCTAATATAATGACTGACACATAGGGCCTCCCTGAACTGTTCTCAATAATTTGATAGCCCTTCAAATAAATATTTTTAAAACATTGAATATTTTCTAGAAGGAGGTAGAGAATGACTTTATATTAGTAGAATTCTATTCCTTTTTATTTTTAAAATTTAGGTTTATTATACACACAGATCAAAACTTAACATTCTAATTTTATTCCTGGATTCTCATTATTATTTCTCTGTTATAATAAATGAATTACATTCACATTCAAGATCAAATCAATTTTTTAAGATAGAGTTGCAATATCTTGTTCAACATATGTTTGAAAGTTATTTTTATCTGGGCTTCTGTTAGCTAATTTCCCACTTTTAAGTAGTTCTTATTTTTCTTTGCTTTTCCTTTGTACTTTTCTATACTAGACAACCTTTTGGGAGCCACACTTACTAAAGATTTTTGCCTGACATCATAAAATTAAAAAAGTGATTTCTATTTGACAGCATGTTGCAATGATTTATTTAGCATCTGCATGTCACTGACTATGTCAAAATGAGTCGTACTTGGAAGTAGGTCATGTATAGTTCACACGTAGGTCACTGGAATTCTTGTCATAAGAGAGGTCAGTAATGGATAGGGGATTTTCATGTTTGCCTGTCTGGTGCTGCTGTTTATTTTGGCTGGGGCTGGATTGACTTATGTGTAATCACAGAGCTTGCTATGTAACTATGTACAACTGGGCCCATGTTTCTGATTTATTTCAGTGATGTTTTAGAGCTTTTTGTGAATTACCATATGGGCAACTCCCTTTATACTTCTTGGCTTTTATACATGAGTTGCTCGGTTAATATTTAAAAAATAAATTATGTCTATTATGCTTTTCCATAAACTTTAGAATCACTTTGGAAATACTTAAAATCCTGTGAGAAACTTTAATCCATTAACTCCATCGATTATCTTAGAATACATTTCTAAACCATCTATGAACACCTCATTGAGTTTGAAAATCATCAAGTCTAAAAGAAAAGAAAAATTAATGTTTTCTGATTTTTATCATGCAAGATAACTTTACTTATAGATATTTCATATATTTGATAATATGATGTATTTCTTTGTATTCTGTGTCTATCAGGAGGTTACTATTTATATGAAAGAGTCTTATTGATTATTGAACATTTGTCATTTATTTTTATTTGGCTCCAATAATTTTGACACAATACAAAATTTAATAGAATAATCTTTTTGTCTATAAAAGTCAGCTGGTAGAGCTTGAGTCCCAGTTCAGCAATAACCTAAATTGCATTATTCTCAAATGTGTAAAAGGTTTTTAATATAAAAAGGAAAAAAAAAGCTTCAGATAAAATATTAAATCTCCTCTAGGGTAAGTTGTTTGCTTTCATGTTCTGTTGAAGTGATGCCTTTTGATGGCTTAGCTAAATTATGGACTTTGGAGTCAGAAAAGCCTGGAATTAAATCCTTCCTCTGCCACTTTCTAGCTGTGTGACTTTAGGCACATAACCTCTATAATTTTCATTTTCCTCAGTTGTAAAGTGGGTCCAGAAATAACTACTTCACAGGGTTGATGCAAATATTAAAGCTACCTAATACATTTCTGCTGTGTCTGACACCGAGCCACAAACTTTCACGTTGAAGACATTTAAACTGATAACATAGAACTCATCCACTACTTGCTAGGATCTGAATGTCTGTGTCCCCACCAAACTTCATACATTGAAATCTTAACCCCTAAGGAGATGGTATTAGGAAGTGGGACCTTTGGGGAGGTGACTAGGTCAAGAGGAATCTCCTGGGAATGGGATTAGTTCCCTTATAAAAAAGGCCCAAAGAAGCTTATTCACCCTTCCAAGATATGAGAACGCAGCAAGAAGGTGGCATTCTATGAACCAGGAAATTGACCCTCACCAGATACTGAATCTGCCAGCACCTTGATCTTGAACTTCCCAGGTTCCAGAACTGTAAGAAATAAATTTCTATTGTTTATGATCTACTCATTTATGACACTTTTTAATAGCAGACTTTTTAATAGTCCTAGAATGGACTAAGGCACTAGTTAGTTCTCTCTTTGGAAGTTAGCCCTAATGAAATCTTCTAAAGTTTTTTCCCTCTCTGAAAAGTTTTGAGATAAAATAGGGCGTGAAAAAGGACGGGATTTATCCACAAACCAGAAGAATGTTTATTTAAAATTTTTTTTTTAATTTCAGAATATTATGGGGGTACAAATGTTTTGGTTACATGGATTGCTTATGTTCTGCTTTAGTCAAAGTTGTAAATGTGCCCATCACCCAGATAGTGTACATTGTACTCATTAGGACAGGATTTATGCACAAACCAGAAGAATGTTTAAAAAGTGAGCCAAAGACAAAAACACAGAAGTAGCACAAAATCCAGGGCCCCACTTGCAAATTTAGTGCATGAGATGCAGAACCCAGAAATGTACATTTCTGAAAAGCACCTCAAGTCATTCTGACATAAAGTTTAGAATCTTTTAAAAGGAAGACATAAACGTTCATGTAATAAAATTGCTACATTTTTAAAAAGAGAAAGAAACATTTAAATTCATGCATTCCTTTTTGAACTGTTATGGTAAAAAAAAAAAATTCTTCATAGCAAATTGAGGAAAGTTTCCTAGGCAAAGGAATAAATTTGAAACCTGATAGCATGCATGAAGAAAATAAAATAGGAAAATAGGATATGGGGGATGCTGGGTACACTACTTTAGAAACCGTGATCAAAAAGGGCCTGTCTTGAGGGTAAGAGTTAAGCAAAGCCCTGAAATGATAAGAGGAGCTGGTTATGCAGAAAGATCTGGGGGAAGAACATTAAGAGCAGAATCAACTGTTGGTGCAGAGGCCCTAAGCAGGACCGAGCTTGGCTTATTCAAGGAGGTCCAGAGTGGTTCAAGCATAATGGAGGACGGTTGCCAAAGATAGTCTGTGTTTGGATAAAGAGTTTGGATTTTGTTCTCAGGGGTAAAGAAAGCAATGGGGCTGCTATAGTTTAATCTACTTTAGAAATCATACTGTCTGTTCACAGTGGAAGATATTGGAGGTGGGGGTGGAGGTGCTGGTGGTAGGGAAAAAGGAATAAAAAAGACCAGGAAGAGGTTATCAAGGTAGTTCTGGTGAGAGATCTTTGCTGAACTGAAGGATCGTAGTTGAAATGAAGAGAGACACCCAGATTTGGGGTATAATTTGGAGGTGCCATCACAGATGTGCCTGTGGTGTGTGAGCCCACAAATTGGGTGTATAGGGTACTGGTGGGGTGGGTGGGGGCAGAAGGTAGAGGATTGATTGATAAGGGGAATCAAATTAATTTGGCCGTAAAACACCTCATCTTTTTTTTAATGCATTAGAAAATATTTTGGTAAATGCTAGTAAAGGGATATGAGTAAATTAGAAGGAAAGGCAGGCCAATGAACAGATTCCCTGGGTGCTGGTGTTCCTAATGTATTTGCCTTTGCCTTGTGTAATCTGCATGAGGTTGACCTTATTTGTTGATCCAGTTGTGGTAAAGGGACCAATCACGATTCTGCCTGTGTAGTAGCATCATCCCTTATTTTGAAAGAAAGACATAGAGAAGGAGAGAAGAAGGAATAGGAGGAAGAAAAGGAGGAGGAGGAGTAAAAATGAAATGTAAATTATTGAGAACAATTTCTCCTTCATGCTGACTTCTCCATATATAAAGTCTTACAGCGTGTCATGTAGGAGAAAATAAAAATAAAAGCAGCTTAGAAGTTGGGTGATGTAGTATGTGGGTTTTGCAGGTGAGCTATGCGTTAGGAAGGTGCATTCTGATACTGCAGAAGAAACAGCTTCTGCTTTTACTGTGCAATGGTTTTGCAAACACCCAAGGTATTGTTTCCCCCTTTCTGACCTTAAATTTCCTCATCTGCAATTCGACTGTACTAGTTTAGCATTATTCCCAAGCTCTCTATAACTTTCAAGTTCTAAAGTCTGTAGGTCTAATTACAGGTCTTTCCAAATTATTATTGTTTCCAATTCCCCTTAACAATTTTGAACGTGTGTATCCGAAGTTTAACAACCTGTTATTAGAGTGTAGTTTCAACTTGAATGTTGGGTGATACTTTTCTTTATGTTAACGAATGAGATAAAAAGGTGAAACAACTGAAACATGTCATAACTTTACCTATTCATCAATGATGTGAGAAACTTCTTCAATGACTCAGATAATAGTTTTTCAACACTGGAAGAATATTTTCTCATTTTTTTTGTGCTATTCACAATGTTAATAGCCACAGATATGGCACACTTTTAAGTTTAATCTGTGCTTTACAGAGCACTCTTATTGAGGGTATTGTAGTTGAAAGTTGGTTTAATGGGGATGGTGGAATTTAAACTACTCTTCATAAAAGGAAAAGTTTAGGTAGCAATAACTTCTGTGAATGGAGAGACATTATGACTTAACTGTTGATGTGATTTTCTTAAAGAAGGTAGTACTTTTACGGTATAAAAGCAAATCATACATTGCTCATAGACATTATAGGTGAGAAATTGAAACAGATATTCTCCAGATACATTGATTTCCTTCCTTCCCTTTTCTTCTAGGGTTTTTCAGGAAATGCAAATGCAGACAGTGTTGTGTACTATAGACTCCAGCCTTCTATCAAAGCCAGATTTCTGCGATTCATCCCTTTAGAATGGAACCCCAAGGGCAGAATTGGAATGCGAATCGAGGTGTTTGGATGTGCATATAGTAAGTGTTTGTTTATCCAACACGCTGACACATATCAAAGGAGATGTTTTAGGAGCCAAACTGCAAACTGAAATTGACTTTTTAGCTATGTAAAGAGATACAAAAACAAGAATAATTTTTGCAAAAAGCTTTTATTTTGTGCCTACACATGCCAATATTGACTTCAGTGTTCAACTGTAACATTTTATTATGATTCAGAGATAGAAGCACTTTATAGATGGTTAGATATAGAGACAGATACATAAATGCATTTATTCAAATCTAAAATTATTGACTAGATCCTAATTTTCAAATATTAGAGCTTTCACAGAGCTTTCACCCCATGGGTTACATTTAATGATGTTTCATTTAGGCACCTTGAATTTAATAAAAGAGACAGTGTTCCATTTAATATAACCAGTCATCTGTTATGAAATAAAAAAAATGTTTTCTCTAGCCTAAAAATAATATGCCATGTAATTCACTTTTAAACATGCTATGGTCTCAGCATAAATTAATAAAATAGGTGAGGACCTCTGCTGGAATATAGAATGTGTTTGAAATAAAAAGATAGAAACCACAGATTTCACTTAGTCTCCTCTTAATGAACCATTTTATTATATCTTATTGTGGAGAAGGGACCTAAGAGTTATTGATAGTCTACCTCAAGCCACATCATCCTGTTAGATACTCTTTTATTTTATTATAGAACAATGAGTTAGTTAATGTGATCTACAATTATCAGATGAACAGTCTAAGGTTTGGAGAGATTGGGTAATTTGCCCAGGGCCTCACAACCTAGTACATGGAAAAATCTGGGAAGAAACTCAGGATGGTTCAATTTCATTACATCATTTTTCCTCTAGTAAACATTTATTTTTTCTCCACTAAAGCTTTTTTTCATGTATAATCTATCACTTTGTGATATGGACCCATTAGATTCTGGCTCTCTTTATCTACATAAAAGGAAAGCATGTCATAAAGAGGTCGAGTGACTTGTCGAAACTGTGTAGACTGTGCCAGACAGAGAGACCACGTCCTACAGATCATATGGGTCTCCTTGTGTATGCAGCGACGTTCCCAGTACCCGTCTCCACTCTCCGACATAATCAACAAACTTGTTCCCTCTAGGCCTATAGAATAAGAGTATTAATATAATATTAATAGCAATAATAGCAATAGCACCAATATTAATATTGATAGCCTTAATTTCTATAACTCTAGAAATAGGAAATTTTGCTTGCGTGCTTGTTATATGTACTATACCAAGCAGTTTATGGTTCCTCAAAGTAGCCCAGATAAGTATTAGTGGGTAACTACTCCACTTCCCCACTTTGTAAATGAGAAAGCTAAAGCTAACAGAGGTTGACTTGCCGGAGCCACCCAGGTGGGAGGCAGCAGAGCTGGGGTTGCAGCCAGGTCTGCCAGACTCCAGAACTCAAGCTCATGCTCACGCTCCCTCCAGCTGTTGGATGACTTGAGATGAGTCCGTGGGCAGCTTACCTCTCACCATCTGCCCAGCTTAACTGCCGGCTTTCTTGGCCTCAGCAAGCCAGCTTAGCTGCTCCGTGTTAGCTGCTAGCTTCAGAATTATCACATTTGAATAAATCAGCCTTTAAAAAAAATCCTACCTCAATTAAGATACTGGAAAGTAGAACCTGGATGGTCAATCTTATTTGACTTTGGATCAGAGAGTTTGGCAAAACTCATGCCATATGATGGACAATGAGATTGAAATGCATTCAGTCTAGGATATAGACTCAAAATTAACTTAATGAGACTATTGATGCTGTTTTGCTCTTTGAAACTAAAGTGCCAATTGTAATGTCCATGTGGTAGTGACTGCTATGGTCGGGTTCCTTTGAGTTCTCTGCTGTGGTGTGACTAATGACAACTCAAATCTCCCCTGCTTTTCTTGATCTGCCACTCTGTGGAGCATTCTTTTTGCTGTGACTTCATTTGTTGTCTTTGGGGTAAGCACACTGTCTGTCTTCTTTCCATATGGACCCATAATTGAAGTAGCAGTACTGGAAGTAAAATGATCTAAACTGAAACTTAAACACATATAATAAAATGGTATGACTGGAGTCAATATAAAATGATGGTTGTATAATTTTAAATTACTATTAAAAGAGAAAAAGTAATAAACTTAATAGAAAAAGTGTTCTCATAGATAACCAGAAAATATCCCAAGAATGGGCAGGATGTGAGTACCGGATGGGAATGTATTTGATCAAATTAACTTTAATCCCTCAATTACACCACAGTCATGCTCACATTCTCCTCTTATTCATAGCATCTGCCTTGCAAAATAATAATTTATTAAAGCATGATACCATATAGCCATCACTTATTGAACAGTTCATATGAACAGAGACTACAAAGAACAAGCATTTTCTGATTTAGTTCTAAAAATTCAGTGAAGCAGTTCCACGAATAATGCTGTTTTATGCAGGCGTCAGAGGAGACAAGCAGAATTGTCTGCCAAATGAGCCATAGCACTTGCTCTGAGTTGCTTAGCACTGAAATAGCTGGGACCACTGGCTTTCCCACCCTCAGAAGGTAGGGCTGCAGTGGCTATCAGCATAAGCTGCAAGAGTTTGTCTGCAACTCCCTTGAGTAGCAGAGATCCAAGGTCTGATTGAACTTTTTCCAGATGCACAAGGCCATCCTATCAATCCCTATAAAAAGGAAAAGTGGTGTGTGGGGGTGGCAGGGTCTCTTTCTTACATCACAGCCACAGGATATCCACATCCAATGAAGTAGGTCTCTCTTGAGCCTGAGGAAGACCCAGGGGTTTGCATGCAACTCACCAGTCTCTCCTGTCTGTATCTTCCCACCTGCACCAAATTAAAGCCCTCTTAGGTGGGCTTTGCCTGAACCATTAACTCAAGTGGTACACATCAGAGTGGCGCTTCATATCTCCAGACATGGAAGAAAGTGAATCTTAGAGAAATTAGGAAGTTTGTCTAGGATTACATAACCTGTGTTAGATCTAGGGTTTAAAATCAGATCTACCACTTTCCAAAGCCAGTGCTCTTGACAACTACATGAATCATGCATGTATTCGCCTTTTAAGTATTTATTTGGCACTTGCTAAAAGAGAACTCTACCAGGTATTGGGTATAGGGAGAAATTCTAAAATAATGTATGTTTTCTTTATAAAGATGGGCATGTGCAAGGTTGGAAAAATTGTACAAACTAAATGCAAAATATTGTAGCATGAGTGTACAGTGTGAGGGTTAGAGTGATTGATAAATTAAGTTTAGTATAAGGAAGTTCGTAACAGTAGGTTTTGAGACTAACATGCAGATATTTCCCCATAGGAAGCTGAGAGGATAGTCCAGATAGGAGAGGGGTGGAGCCCAGTCAAGCACAAGAAAGAGGATGGGTGGAATGGTCAATTCGTATTTGAGTATGATCGTTCAGACTGAAATGAGTGGTATAATTGGAGGGTTAAATCTGGAAACAGCAGCTCATTAGGAAGTTTTTGTTCTTGTTTGTGTAAGTGGCAGTGGAGCCCCAAACTACAGAACAGCAATCAGTAAAGCGGGAGGCAGGCAGATTTGAATCATTCCAAGGCTACTGAATCAAGAGATCTTAGTCACTGTGTGTGAGGGTACACTGAGTTATCATATTTGAACGACCATCTGGAAGATAGTATCATTTACTGGGGTGGGGACCTGGAGAATAAATGGGTTCTGGAAGGGAACAAAAGAGATAATTCATCCCATTGTTGACTTACTGAGTTCAAGTGCCTTTGAAATATGGAAGGCTGGAACTCCAAGGGCTCTGGGTTGAAGATAATAGAATTAAAACTTATATAAGTATCATTATTAGTAGTAAATCATGAAGGGTTCCTCTTATTGTACCACTATTAATGATAAAAGTATACAGTGCTATGTTTGAACAACTACTCACATCTTGAAAAATAAGAGTGCATTTCTACCATAATAAAAGCAGGTCCTTTATTCTATTTTTCAGGTATTATAAACATTTTTACAACAGGTCCCCCTTGTGCCTAATACATGTATTTGCTGAAGTTATAGATGCAAGCCAGTCTCATGAATATTGCAGAGAAGTGGCTATTGTGAGAACCACACATAATTTTATTTATTGCCCTCCACCCTAGCGAGTTAGAGCAATAACTTGTTATGAAGGGAACATCAAGTGAATGGAAAATCCATATCAAAAAGCATGTTCTACTTTTATGTCAGTAAACTTGAAGTTGTTTCCTGAGTAATGAGAGAAATAGAAGGTAAATTTTATGGGATCAAAGAGAAAGTATAAATATCAGATATCTTGGCCATAGCGGCTGTGAACATGTTTATAAATCCAGAGAAGAGATGTACGGAAAGAAATACCTGGTAGAAGAAAGAAAGGGAAAGAAAATATTTGATGATAAGGAAGTAGTACTCTACTGAGTGTCTCAAAGAAAAGTAAACAAAGGTAAACAAAGGTAGGGGAAGAAAAATAACTGGGTGAAAGTGAATGTATCTGAGATGCCCTTAGGAAGTGGCAATTAAACCACAGACAGGAGATAATGTTCTTTAATTGCAGATGAATTGCTGAGTCAATTGTCCTTAGTATGATTTCTAAATTCCTTTTCTCTAGTTACTGTATAAACACGCTCATTTTGCAATCCACGATCATCTCTTCGTCATCCTCAACAGAATAAGCACATCCAACTGTCAAGCCAAACTGGACTAATTCTGGTTTCTTTGACATGCCATGAGTTCATGATTTTTCTAGCCTTAGGATATTTGCATGATGACTGTGGCAATCGCCACATACACAGCCTTCATTCCTTTGTCTAGATAACTCTCTCGCTCATTCTCTTTTCTCTGGTTTTGACAACTTCCCTGATACCCCACATTCAGACCAGTATGTTCCCACCCACTTGTAGAACAACCTTTCTTCCCCTAATCACAGCACGCCCTCACTATACTGGGTTGCAACCAGATGTCCTTTTTCTGTCATTAGTCTTCTTTCTGGACAGATGAATGAATGAATGGGGAGCC